AAACAAACAAAGAAAAGGTGCCATGGTAGCCAGCAGAATGTTAACATGTCATTGACATCATGGCAACCGCCATGCGTTGGTCTCTGTGTCAAGTGCTTTATGCGTTCTTCTTAACTACCTAAAAGCTGGGTGTTTTTTACTGTCTCCACCTGACCGAGATGGCAGGTGAGGAGGCAGTCCTGGGCCCAGCTCTCCGAGGGCTGGTGGCAGTGTCTTGGACCCTGGTTCTGCCACACCACCCTTACTAGGTCTTGTTTGCCTCTGCCATAAAGGAGGATCATTGAATTATAACTCTAGGGCTCACTAACTTCACCAGTGCTTTGTGTCCTGTAGTAAACCTTCTCTGGTATTGGCATTAGTCTGAATCTGGCTAACACATACAATGCCTCAGAAAGTTCCTCAACTCTTTCCGGCATGATTGACAGGAGCTTGCAGTATTTAGCTTAGTATATAGAGATGGGCAAATGAAACTCAACTGGCATAAACTGTGTCCTATCAATTACTAGCCACATACCCTCAAGCAAGGGTCTTCATCTTTCTGAGCCTTAATACTGTCCTGTTTAGATGGGACTACCAGTAATGCCAGCTTCTGAAGATTGCTGTTAGAAACAGGGAAGATACTACATGTCAGGTGTTTGGCTCTGACCTGGCAGTTGGTAGCAGAAACGAGCTGTTAACTGAGAGGACAGGCTCAGCAGGCAGGAGCCTGGGTTCAAACCTGGCTCATTTGTCAGCTGGATCACCATGGCAAATGAGTCAGAGCCGCAATTTCCTCATCTGTAAAATAGAGATAATAATAATGCCTATCTCATAGGGTAATTATGAGGAGGAAATGTCACAGCACACGAAATACTCAGAAAGGTGCCTGGCATGTAGCAAGTGCCTGGTAAACTGCAGCTGCTGGGGCTGGGGTGTAGCTCAGAGCTAGACCACAGACAGTGCAGTACTTAGCCTGTGCAAGGCCCTGGGTTCCATGCCCAGCACTGCACATGGACACATACATATGCCCGCACAGCAGCTGCCGGGAAATGGTGATTTCAACAGGCTAAATAGATGAATCGGTAACCAAAACACAGAACCTACCTTTTCCCTTCCTTCTGTACTTGTTTCTTTTCACAAAAAACATCCCTATATGTTTAAAGTGATAAGACTGCTGGTTTAATGTTAATTCTTAACACATGAAGTTCATCAGTACTTTCACTTGGGATGTTTTTCCTGATGTGTCCCATAGAAATAAAAATAATAACAAGACTGTCTAAAAAGAAGCCAGATCCCTAGGATTAGAGGTGAGCTAGGTGCTAGAACATTTGCATGGCATGCACAGGCACTGGGTTTAGGCCCCAGAACTACAAAAATTATATGTGTATATATATATATAATTCTATAACAGTCCAAAAATAAGCCAGGTATGGTGGCGCACACATGTAATTCCAGCCCTTGGGAGGCAGAGGCCAGCCTGGGCTCCGTAGCAAGACCCTGTCTCCAGAAAAAAAAAAAAAAAGCATAAGCATAGCCATGTGTAAGAAGTAATGATAGTGGCCATCCTTGCAGGAGAGAGGCACCCATGCTGGAGGGAGCTGTTAAAGGTCAGTTTCTTGATATGGGCGCTATGTATGTGGCTTGTAGACCTTGTGGGAAAGTCATGCTGTATAGACTCTTCTTGATTTGCGTACTTTTGTACATTCCAAATTAAAAGTTTACTAAAATAAGAATGCTGCTCAGAGCTTAGACACCTAGTTTGTGTTTGGCTGCAGTACTTGCCCAGAAGCAAGGGGCCTGATTTTTCCTGAGTGGACCCCGTTATTAGGAGTCCAGTGCGAAGCCTGACTGTGGCCAGGACAGGTCCAAGGCGGGGACATCGCTGAGTGAGCATGATCCGCAAATCCCCTCTGCTCAATCCACAGTGTGAAAAGCAGTGCCTGCCTAGCAGTGATAACCAAGACCCTGGGCCTCTCCCCACTTTTTCTTGAAGGCAGAACACAAACTAATTTACCAGATTCTAATTGTGTTCTAAGGGAAAAGTCCTCAAGAGTCTGGGAGGAGTCAGGCTCTGCAGTCATTCAGCACTGAGTTTACATCCCAGCTTTACACTTACCTGCAGTATTTTGCCATTTACAGAATAGAGATCATAGTGTTTACCTTTTAAAATACTGTCCTAGGAAAGTGTCTGGCCATAGAAGTGGATTCTGAGTGGCAGCTTACCTTAGTAGTATTGTCATTGTCATTATCATTCATCTTGCCTCTGGCTCTCTCTCCCACAGCTTCCCCTCTTTACAGATGACTGAGCCCAGGGCCTTCCACTAAGCTATAGCCCAGCCCCACCCCTTTTTTTTCAGACAAGTCTCACTAAATTGCCCAGGCTAGACTCAAACTTGGCCGTCCTCCTCCCACCTCCTCCCAGCTAGTCCCCCTTTTGTAGGCATTGAACCTAGTGACCCATATTAGGTATGGCCACGATGGAGACCTGTCCAGTACAAAGCCATGATTTCAGTGATGGAGGAGTCTCTCCCCAGTTCTTTAAGGGAGGCTGATCCAAGTCCCAGGCCCCTCTGTTTACTTCCAGTGACAGAAATGGTGCCCTCTAGTGGAGAGTCCAGCTCTAGGGAGCTTGTAAACAGCTGGTGATAACGTTTGTTTCTGTTAAGAGTCTAAGTTCATTTTTTAGCATTAAAAGCAAAAACGTCATTAGTTAGACCTAATGAATTTTGTGACCACCAGAAAAACCAGCCCGTGAGTACTGTGTCATGAAGTGAGTAAGCTAGTTTCCCCTGTAGATTCAGTCAGGCGCACGATGTCAGAGTCTCTCCCTCCTTACAAGGCAGATGACAGTCCCCCTTCATTCTCACCACAGTGACAAATGCCTGCACACAGCGATCCCGAATATCTTTCCTTCCGTTCTGCAAGAGTCCAGGGCAGCGACGGTGCATCCCTAATGAACATCCAGTGAGCAGCTGAATTCTGAGACCAGTAAATAATTTATTTCATTTCACCTGACTAGCCAGGTGCTTCAGATCTCCCTGACACTGACGGATGGCCTCCTCCGCCCGTCCATCCTGTGTCAGAGGCGAGATTTCCCAAGGCCCTTGTGGCAGGTCCTTCCGAGGGGTAAGCGTCCGTGTGCAGCATTCCCCACTTCCCTGCTGATGCCACAAAAGCTGCTGTCCACGCTCAGTCGTGGTCAGTCCGAGCACACAGCGGAGGATGGGAAGACGTGGGCTCCCCCCTGCTGCTCGGCTCCTCATCCTGTGGTGGGGCAGGAGGGTCAAGACTCCAATTTTACCACCTTCCATTTGTCCCTAAGAAAGGGGATGTGAGACTCAAAACTTCAGTCTGCAAGACCTCAAAGTTAAAGTAATTTCCCACCTCTCTGTGACTGAAAAACTCCAGTACTCTTAATGAAACCTGTGGCAAAGATCTGATCTTTTGAAATGGTACTAACATTGAACAAAAAACATTATCGAGAGTTCAGTGTGTACCAGGTGCTTTGCTGGTCACTCTCTTCACATGCATTTACACCTGAAATCAAGCGCTGTTACTAGATAGTACTGATGTATTCATTTTTTTTCCCTGAGGAAGCTTAAGTGTAGGGGAAGATCTAGTAAAGTGAGTCCTGAGCCTAACTCTGTGCGTTAGATAAAAATTTGTGCTAATATTCTGTAATTCCGTGACAGTCTGCAGTACACAGATTACCTCACTTAGTCCACATAGCACATCGATGTTGTGGTTCCACTTCACAACTGAGAAAGCGGAGGCTTGAAGGAGTTAATGAAATAATGCAGTGCATGTGAAGCAGTTCGTGTTTCCTGGCGCAGGGCTATTGCCGAATGGTGCTAATTCTCTTTTCCTCCTCTTCTGCCGTCAGGGTCTGTAGTGGGATACCCAGTCCCTGTGGCAGAGCTGGAACAGAAACCCCGTGCCATACACCAAACCCAATCTGTCACACCAGAAATGCCTCAGCCGCTCGTAACTTGACCTTTACAAAGGAAGGGATTACTTCAGTCTGGCTGCTGCCCAGACTTGCGCACATCCTTCCCTCCGAGCCTCCCCAGCTCCGGAGCGGAGTACCGTTCTGCACTGCCCTTTAGACATTGTTAGTGCACTTCTTCCTGCTAGGCACAGACCTAAGCTCAGAGTCCTCTCCTAGATAGTGCTCTAACAACCCCTACCAATCACTTGAATACAGTTCAGTTTTTAAACTGAAGTTCATTTGCCATCCTGCTCTACCAGCCTGGAAAGCTTACCAGATAACGCGGTTGTGCCTACCCATTTTTGTAGTTCTCTGAAATATTCTTGGAATGTTC